GTATGGCAAAAAGGTTTTATATAAAACTTAGTAAAGAGTTAATTGATCTTCTGTTCTGGTTGCATCCCCCCATTACCTATTTCTCCACCACCACTCATTAAATTTCTCAGTTTTTCTTGGACACTGGTGAAATATCCTCCCATGTTAACACCCATGGGATGGAAAAGCCAGTTTTCATGAGTCAAATATACTAAACTGATTTTTTTTCACATGCTTGTCCTATATGTTGTTAATATGAAGAATTTTCTGAAAATTATTCTGACTTCACATATGCTTCATAGAAATAGCATGCAGAAAACATGTGGGCTAGGCTCACAGTTGACTTCCTTGGCTTTGGCTCTAGTTTTATATTTGAACTTTCCTTTTACCCCATCCAGATCTATCCCTTCTGCTGTTTCTGTTCTCAGAGAAAGCTAATTTTGTGTGGAGAAACGGCACGGTGGACTGATTCTCATTCAATGGAAATACAAATTATTTGATGCTTCATGATGCTCACATGTGCTTTCCTTCCCTCACATTCTCAAACTCCATTTCTTAGTTCTGACTTCTTGGCAAACAGAAAGATGAATGGTGGGGGCAGTGTTATTAATTTCATTTCTGTATTGCCCCACAGCTGAAGTGCTCTGAGAGGTTTACAACTGTCAATAAAAACAGATCATCATGTGACATTGGCCTCTCAACCAGTCGAATGTGTCTAAGGGGATTACAATCAGATGTACTGAAGCACTGATGAATGGAGAAGACAAGAGAGAAGCTACATGCATTTTTGTGTGCGTTACGATGGGGCACTATTGATCAGGACACACAAAATGAGGCTGTAGCAAATTAAAACTGAAACCTTTGCAAATGAGTAGGTTTTGAGTCAGATTTTAAAAGAGATGTAATCATTCTCAACTATATTTTCATGATTTTTAGCATGACTAAACAAAGGAATGCAAAACATTTAACTGAAGGATTGAATAGAAACTAAGAGAATCATGGTAATAAAACAAACCTGCTGCTGAGTAAATTATTTTAATTCCTTCCAGTTAGAGATCTGTGATGTTGGAATGGTGGTGATATAAATGCCAGTTAATCCATGTTTTTCAGAACTGTGTGTTTGTATGATGGTGAGAGCATGGGTGCAGAATTTTAGCTTCCCTTTTTTCCGCCCCCATGGCTGCCACATTTCAGTCTTATGGCTGCAAAGTTACTCCTGAAACCATGTGGACAAAGTCTGATAACATTTAAAAAATTGGAAGATGGGTTTGTATGACTGGAGAAAGAAAAGAAGCCATGGTGGCTTTTTTCCCACCTCACATGAACCAGTCATTTGCTGCTTCATTTCCTTAATTACCTGTGCTGGGTGCAGGTTGTCATGTCATCCATACCTGGTAAGGTCTGAGGAGGGTATGGCTTCCAAGCCACCAAAAAACCTGTAGGCTGTTCTAGGATTCCCTGGTGGCTTGCTTTCCCTCCCTGATGAAACCTGGCAAGTTGGCTTAGTAAGGTGCATGGTGGATGTGTGTGTGCCTTTCAAGTCAGGACAACCTTTTGTCCTTCCTTTTCCTTTGCTTGGAAAACCAGAATATACTGTGTCCAATTTTCAGGATTTATATCAGTGGTGTAATATATCTTCTTTTGGAGCAGAACCTGAATTGCTTAAGCACACAGCATTAACAGTACAATATATTAATATAGTAATACATTAATGTTTACTCTGGCATAAGTTCCATTGTAACTACTGGGCTTACTCTCTGTTTTATGTGTGAGAATTTTAACCAAAACCTCTCTTTAGCCTTTGCTACAACTCTGCAGTCTACTGCAAAGAATAGTATGCCCCAAATGTTGCTAGGGACATATATCCAGTGATTTCACTGATTTCAATACAGCTGTGCCCAGTAATCTGGTTGGCTAACTTCAATCTCATTTTGCCTTTTTACTTGAATCCTTATGGTCCATGAATACTAATTCTACAAAACAAGAATTCAGAATCTTAAAAAAGACAGATTAGTTTTGTTTTAACTGATTTTAATATACATCCTTGCTGAAGAATATGTAAAGAGTTTTGCGGATCAGTACAAGATTTATTTATTTATTTATTTATTTATTTCTTACCAGCATGCAAATGATGATGTTCGTCCATCATTTTTGATGAGGACCTTGACATCTAACGGGTTGTGAGTTGTCCACGGTGTGTCCACAGGTGGCTGATAAGGCCGATATGGGCACGGAGTGTTCTGCCACATGTCAGGCAGACATGTGTGGGCACCACTGTTGCAACGTTTGCAACTCTGGCTTTACGGAGTGCTCGCTTCTCTTGTGCTATGGTTGTCCTTCTGACTTCAGAAGTTTGGCAGCCTTGGTGGATCAGCGAGCACCATGTCGATCAGTCTTGTGCCAGGGTCTCCCAGGAGGTGATGTCAATAACCAGGGACTTGAGAGAAGCTTTCAGCATGTCTTTGTATCGCTTCTTTTGTCCACGTGCGATCGCTTTCCTTGAGACAGCTCACCATAGGAAAGCTGTTTGGGGATGTGGTGGTCTGGCATCCTTGCAACATGGCCTGCCCAGCATGTCTGGGCTTTCATCAGCAGGGTGTGAACTGATGGCAGGCCTGCTCTGGAGAGGACCTCTGTGTCTGGCACCTTGTCTTGCCACTGGATCCTCAAAAGTCTGCAGAGGCAAGTCATGTGGAAGTTGTTCAGTTGCCTAGCGTGCCTCCTGTATACTGTCCAAATCTCACTGGCATTCATCAGGGCAGTTAGCACTACTGCTCGGTAGACTTTAAGCTTTGTAGCAAGGCTTATTCCACGGTGGTTCCACACTTTGGTCTGCTGAATGCAGAGCTTGCCTTGGCGATTCTGCAGTTGACCTCGATGTCAATTGTCACTGCTCGGGAAAGTGAGCTGCCAAGGTATGTAAATTGGTCCACTGCTTGCAGCTTTTGTCCCTTCACTGTGATGGTGGGCTCTTGGTATTTATTGGGCTTTCAGAGCTGGCTGATGCCTCACTTTGATTTTCTCTGTGTTGATGAGGAGGCCGAAGTTGTCACATGCTACTGCAAATTTGTCCATGCTGGCTTGCATTTCCTGCTCTGATCCAGCATTCAGGGCACAGTCGTCAGCAAAAAGGAGGTCTCATAGCACAGTCTCCTTTATCTTGGTGACAGCCTGGAGTCTTCGCAGGTTGAACAGTTTCCTATCGGTCCTGTGTTTCAGGCTGACTCCCAAGGAGTTGTTCTGAAAGGCGTCTGTCAGCATGGCTGAAAACATGCAAAACAGGGTCGGTGCCAGTGTGCATCCTTGCTTGATGCCATTTGTGATGGGAAAGACCTCTGAAGCTTCTCCGTCGTCCAAAACATGAGCTGTCGTGCCGTCATGGAACTGATGTACCATCAGGATGAATCTGTCAGGGCACTCAAACTTCGACATGATGCTCCACAGACCTTCCCGACTCACAGTGTCAAAAGCCTTGGTGAGGTCCACAAAGACGGTATACAGTTCACGATTCTGCTCTTGACACTTCTCTTGGAGCTGTCGGGCTGTGAAGATCATGTCCACAGTGCCACACTCTTTGTGGAAGCCACACTGTGTCTCGGGTAGTAGACCCTGTTTCAGATGGTCAGTCAGGCGATTCAGCAACACACGTGCAAGGATCTTGCCTGCAATGGAGATTATCACAGACTTGTCGATTTCCTTTCCTCTTGTAGAGGTGTACGATGGATGCGTCTTTCAGTTCCTGAGGAATGGATCCTTGATTCCAGAAGGACTGGAACAGCTGAGTGAGTGTGTCGACAAGCACTGCACCACCTTCCTTATAGACTTCCGCTGGGATCGCATCAGATCCTGGGGCCTTGCCACTGGACAGCTGACTGATGGCCTGTAGGGTTTCAGGCTTTGATGGTGGGGCATCCAGGCTGTGGTTGATATCCGCCTGGGGCATTCTGTCAATCGCCTCATTATTGATGGAGGATGGGAGGTTCAGTACGGATTGGAAGTGCTCAGCCCAATGCTTTAGAATCAGAGTCTTCTCAGTAATGAGAGTTGCACCATCTGAGTCCAGTAGAGGGGAGCTCCCTGAAGGCTGAGGTCTGTACAAGGATCTGAGGGCTTCGTAGAACCATTTGGCATCGTTCCTATCAGCAAACTTCTGGATTTCATCTGCTTTGACACTCAACCAGGAGTCCTGCATCTTGTGAAGCTTGCTCTGTACAGTCCTACGAGCGGTGTTGAAGGCGTTTTTCTTCGCTGTTGACAACGGGTCATTCTGATGAGCACGGTGAAGGCGGTGCTTTTCGGCAAGTAAGGCCTTGATCTCTTCATCGTTTTCATCAAACCAGTCCTGCTGTTTCCTGTGTGAGGGTCCAAGAACCTTTAGTTCAGAAGAGTGCACAATATCCCAGAAGCATTCCCAGTCCTTCTCAGCATTTTCCTCTAATTGCAGCTCTGAGAGTTGGTTGTCAAGAGCTTCTGCTAATGAAGCTGCTGTGTTGGGGTTCCTCAGTTTACTGACATTGATCTTTTTCATCACAGCTTTGTTTCCCTGTGGACGTCTGTTAGACTTGATGTGAAGGCTTAATTTGGAGATGATGAGTCTGTGGTCAGTCCAACAGTCAGCACTCGGCATGGCCTTGGTCACCCTTACATCCTGTCTGTCTTTCCTCTGCACGATGGTATAATCAATGAGGTTCCAGTGCTCGGAGCGTGGGTACATCTAGGACGTCTTTTTGTGAGTGGGCAGGTGGAAGATGGTATTAGTGATGATCAAATCATGAGCCGCACATGTCTTCAGTAGTAGTAGGCCATTGCTGTTACATTTGCCGATTCCATTTTTTCCAATGATGCCATCCCAGGCAGAGTGATCAGATCCTACTCTCGCATTGAAATCGCCAAGTAGAATCAGCCTGTCAGTGCGCTTCATGGATGAGAGTAGGGCATCGAGATCTTCATAAAACTTGTCCTTTACTTCATCTGGATTCGTCATTGTGGGTGCGTAGGCTCTGATCAGAGTGGCTTGCTTTCCTCTTGGTAGTGGGAGATGCATTGTCATGAGTTGGTCGTTCACACCCTTGGGAAGACTGGTAGGTATGGGGACAAGATGATTCTTAACCGCAAAGCCAACTCCAGATTCACAACGTTCATCACTGCTACGTCCCCACCAAAAGAATGTGTAACCACCTCCTGTTTCTGTGAGCTGACCTTCGTTGGCTAGGCGAGTTTCACACAGGGCCACAATATCAATGTTAAATCTTGTGAGCTCTCTGGCGACCAGGGCTGTTCTTCTTTCTGGTCGATCTGCTGAGGGGTTGTCTTGAAGCGTGTGTACATTCCATGTGCCAATAGTCAGTGGTGTTACCTTGCGTTTGCATTTTGTTTGCAGTTTTGTTGTTCAACCGCATAAGATGGAATTCCCTCCAGCTGGCCAGGATTCTGTGAAGCAAACAATGTTTAGGGCACCTTTTCTAGCCCCTTGCTCTTGCTACAGAGGTGAGCAGTGCGGTCCTAAAGAGGGCTGCTCAGTCACTCAGGTAGACACTGAATCCAGCTGTTGCTTTGGTCAGCAAGAAGACGACCATTAGACCTGAGCCGCCTGTGTGCAGGTCTGCGGCTACAGCTCCCAGTGTATCCACACCTGCTGCTTCATCGCTCTCCCATCACCACAGGACTTTGAGGTTTACTAGAACTGAGGAAGTCAAGACTTGTGCGTGGATTGGATTAAAGTGAAGGAGAGGTGCGCATAGTCAGCCTCACTCTCTCTTCCCAGAATCCATCTTGCTCCAGTGGCAGCACAAGAGTCAAGACGTTTGGAGATGGACTGGGCACAGTGGTTGACCAGGGCGTCTTCGTGTCTTGCCGTGCTCTTAGCGTACCACAACGCTTGCAGAAACCGCCTTCATGAAAAATAACCAGTGGGCAGAAGGACTGTTGCCCATGTTCTGCCAAACCCTATGTTGTTGTTGTTTAGGTTCAAGATAAGAAGCAAAGTATTCTTTAATGAATATAGTGTTTTAGGAATTAAGCATCTCACTACTTCTAAAATGTCTCTAATAATTTTGCTTGTGCTCATTGCTATATTGAATATTATACTTAGATCTCAATAGCCATTTGTAATTTTGTAGGGTGTTCATCCTAATTTTTTTTTCTCTGTTGCAGGAGAGATTACTGTAAGCAAAATATGGAATGGGTTTCATTTGGGACTGAATCCAGCCAAACAAACAGTATTGACAATAGCTTGAAAATCACCAGTTAGCAGTTTCTTCACGCTCCAACACTACACAGCACTTTCCAGAGAGACCTCATTGTGTGCAAGAAATCTGCTTTACAAATCTGCCTCGGTACCCTACAGCTTTGTCTCATTAAATACTTACAAAAGAAAAACCTATCTACAAAAGTTCTTGGGGAAAATGGCATTAGAAGAATACCTGTGGATGGTCATTGTGGGTTTTATCATTGCTTTTGTTTTAGCATTCTCTGTTGGGGCAAATGATGTTGCCAATTCTTTTGGTACTGCTGTGGGCTCTGGTGTAGTTACTTTGCGCCAGGCCTGTATTCTTGCTTCTATTTTTGAAACTACGGGTTCAGTGTTGCTAGGAGCAAAAGTAGGTGAAACCATTCGTAAAGGCATAATTGATGTAAATCTGTACAACAACACTGTGGATCGACTAATGGCAGGAGAAGTCAGTGCAATGGTTGGTAAGTAACTGTTTTTAAAGTATATAATTAGCTATCTTTATTGTCTTCAACTTAGCATATCTCTGTGATTTCCACTCCTCTTGATCACATTTCTTAATATCAAACACAGAAATCCAGTAGCTTGTCTTTCAGACATTCACATTTCTGTATGTATACATTTGCTGTTATGGGCTACTGAAGTTGATATAGATCAGCCTTCCCCATTCTGGTACCCTCCAGATTTTTTACATTTCATCTCCCATCAACTCTTGCCAACATAGCCAGTGCTCATGAATGACTGGAGTTGTAGTCCCAGGCATCTGGGGGACATCAGATAGGAGAGGATGGGTGCAGGTGTTGACCACTGTTGAGATTTCTGTAGTGTTAAGAAACTGGAAGCAGATCATGGGAGCGAATTGTTTCCATTTCCCTGTACAGCTTTCCTCTTCCTTTTTGTTAGTACTAGCCTTAATTGCAGTTGATGCCAATACAATTCCCTTTAACTGTGCTTTGAAATCAGGATTTGAACCTGGTTAAAAGAGAACCTGGCCATCATTTATTACAATTAAAATCAGTTCTGATCTTCCACTTAACCAAGGTGAGAGGGAACTCTTACTCCCATTTTCTCTTCCCAATCCATAACCTGTGTTAAAGATCGAGCATATTAATGTCTGCACTGAGTCTTATTTTGGCTGTTCTTGCCTTAAGTTATATGTTTCAGAAAACAGTTATTTCTTGTTTGATTTTGTATTTTTGTGATGTTATAGTACATTTCTGTTTTGAGAGAGGAAAAGAAATGTAGTATGTACAGTGCATGATACCCTATGCTATCAAAATAAATGCATATTTTGCCAAAAGTGTTAGAATAATAGTATGCAAGAACAGAAATAACTGCATGATCTTAAAGGTTTATATACAAAAAATGGTTGTAATAATATGCTATTTGTTGTCTTAGGACATATTCATTTGCAATTACCAATACTTTTAAAATATCTTTTATTTGTATATGTGTGATTTTTAACACAAGACAAAAATAATTCCAAAAGGATAGATAATAGTTTTCTAGACAGCCCTAATTTTATATATTCATAATAAGATTAAACGGTACAAAAATTCCACCTTGGATATTTTCATATCATAGAGTTAGCGAAGAGACAAAGTAGGAGAGAACCATAAATAGCTGGTGGACTCTGCTTATCTTTCTGGGTCACAAATTGCATAGCCTATAGCAGCGGTCCTCAAACTTTTTCAATAGGGGACCAGTTGAAAGGTTGCAGTGACCGTCGCAGGCCGGTGAGGTGGGGGTACCTGGGGGCGCAGACTGGTGAGGTGCTGTCGAGTGAGCAAGCGAATCCAAAACCATCTCCAAGCGAGCAAGCCACCACCTCCCCACCTGTGCTGCAAGGCAACGGCGAGCGCACATGTATGGAAGGTGGGTGGCGGCAGCTTGCTCGCTCAGAGACCATCTCTGAGTGAGCAAGCCACCGCCCCCTTGTTCACGCAGCAATCATGCACATGGGTGGCGAACAGCGGCGCGGGCTGGATGGATGGCCATGGCGGGCCAGATCCGTCCCGCGGGCCATAGTTTGAGGACCCACGGCCTATAGTAACATCAGTTCTTGTCTTTATCTATGATTAACGCCAATGGGACATGCAGCAAGATATGGATTTGGATCTTTTCAATATATTGCAGCTTCCTAGGAATTGGGAGGTATTTATATTACATGTGTTAAAATAGCATATAATTTCATTTATTTAAAGCATGTGTGGCTTGCTCTTGAGCCAAAATATGCACTTTACAAAAATATGACAGAAAAGCAAATGGAGATGAAGAGGGAGGACTGGGAAAAGCAAATGGTCTTTCATTAAGTTTAATAGGATGGCCTCATTTACCACTGTTCAAACCTTCTGGAAATGAATGTTTATACTATGAAAATGTAATTTCATAAGGAGCTATGCACGCTTGTGTAAAGAGCATGATGCTGACACTCTCAGAAAAAAAAATCCAGAACCTTACATATATTCATGCCCTCTTAACAGAAACAGGCTGATGAATTTTCCACTATAGGTTTTGTGCTTTCTTCTATGCTTGAAGGGGACTATGCAAAACAAGAGCTAGTATTCAGAAGTGTGGAAAACCCAAAGTAGTAATGCAATTTATTTGATTATATTTATGTGGAGAGAAGAGTTATATTGTCCAAAGGTTTATAATATTTCTAGCAAAAGGTCCAGTTCACATTGTTCAACACTGTTACTGCTTGTCTTGTTAAAACGACTGGGCCCACTTCTCCCAAAATATAGCATTTCAAGGTTCTTACCTTAGAATCTGCATCCCTTAGATTAATAACTTAGAAGAAAAGTTATTCTTCCTTGTCTCTCTGCATCACACATATAGGCTCTTTGCGCAGGTGTGGAGCTGTTTTCAGGAAGATTCCAAAGCTGATGAATTAGTATTTGGCTGGAGCCCAGCCTCCAACACTCCAAGCATGAAGGTGGGGCTCCCACTGAGACTTCAGTTCTTCTTCAACTGCCATTGTAAGCGAATCGGGAAGGTCCTCCTCCAACTTACCTTGGGAATTTGCTCTTCTTTGTGACTCTCGGCCTCCTGATCTTGCCAGGTTTTCCTCTTGTAATTATCTCTTCAATAGAAGCAAAAATGAAGCAAAACAAAAATTTAAAATTTAAACTACAGGAGTACACAGTGGAAAAGTCTTTGGGTGTTAGTTCCCTATGCTGCCTCTTGCCTCATTGAACAGACAAGATGGCTCTGAAGGCCCTTTTCCACAATTGTACCACATGTGGTAGTAAACTTTCTTACAGACGGTGACTTCCTTGGCCTCTTCTGTTTGGAAGAGTCTCATGTTGTCGATTCTTGCTACCACTGCCAAACTTTCACTAAGCAGGCAAGGAAACACCAATTTGACCGGCTAAAAGCCGAACTGTAGAGCTGTGCCCTGCACGCAAAAGAACCCGAACTATCTACATCTGGGTCTCCAATCCCTACAACCACGAATGAGACCTTAGCCCCCCCCCCCCCGCCACCAATTAAAATACCCTAAACAACAGAACAGAAGGAGACAGAGAAGAAGGCAAAATTGTCTAAATCTCTCAAGGGGAGCATTAAGAGTGTCCAGAAACACATGGACCTTCCACTGGCTACTGGCCTCCTGTGTGCTATAGACACAGTGCCACCACAAGAACAGAGTCACTCTTCTTCTCCAACACAGAAGCAAACACAGGAGCCTCTCTCCCAACCCTTGAAAAACACTTTGGTTTCAGAAGAGGTGATTCATGATCCATCTCCAGTTCCTCTCCAAGAACTAGACCATCCTTTGGTATGGAGGCAAGCCTTGCCAGTACATTCAATCCTGAGTGTCTTCCTTCAGTCAGAACAACATAGATACCACCTTCATTCTTGCTGTCGACCACCTGAGGCTTCACATAAAAGACACCAAACTCCCCTGCGACACCAAGGGAACTTCAATACCAACTATTATGTAGAACAATGAGGTCCCATCAACTCCAGACACAAAGGCTCCCATTGGAGTCCATCAGGATCAAATCAACATTCTCTACTGGAACCTAGCCTCACTGCTCCTTTTTCTGAGCCTATACTCAAATCGACCCATGCAAATCTTCTTTGTGAAAGGCAGCCTCCCTCTAGTTTGCAACATCTGTTGACCACATTGACCAAACTGAACATCATTCAGAGCAAGAACATTACACTTCAATCTCTGCCATCTCCTCTCCAAACCAACATTCAGATTTGTCATTTCATGCATTGGTACTGACCCTATATTTCCCTCAGGCACCAGAGGACTCGGGCTTTTTTTCTACCCAAGTTCTATGCATGGCTCACAGTCTCAGGCTCATCCCCAGACAGGAACCCACCAGGGCAAAGAACCCAGTCTTTGAAGCTGTCCATGCAGAGTCAGGTGGTCCAGGCACTCTTTCATTTTTACCTACCCTGCTCGATGCAGTATACCATGAATGGAAATCCCTTGCATCGGTGGCCCCTCCAACTCATCGACTCAAAAATATGTATCGAGTTCAAGAGAAGGTTGCTGAATTTCTTTTTCAACACCCTCAACCTAATTATTGTTGAATCTTCTCAAACTCATTCTAGAAGGAAACATGCCATACCATCAGACAAGGAAGGCAGGCACCTCAGTGCTGTTAACCGCTGCTTCTATTCCTCTGCTGCCTTCTCTATAAAGATGGCTAACTAGCAGGCCACCATGGCTAGATACCACCTTATGCTTTGGGATAGAATCTCATCCCTATGCATTTCTTTACCTAAAGGTGCTCAGGACCTAGCTAATGGAATTAAGAATGAAGCCATTCACCTGGCCAGACAAGCGATCCACACAGCTCGACTCCAGGCTGAATGTGGAGCAAGAAATATGGCAGGGGCAATAGGGCTTTGTTGCTTCTCCTGGCTTCAATCTTCTGGTCTCTCTGATGAGGCAAAAATGAGACAGAGGCCTCCATCCTTTTTAGGGACCGTAGCGTATCTGGAATAAAAATCAGGAGTACTAGGTGGTACACATTCTATAGCTCCCTTCTGGAATAAGGTGATTTCATCTAGGGGAGGGGTGGATGAGCTAGTTTGCTTCAGTACTGTGAAGTGAGGGCCTCTGTCCTATCCTTGATATCATCTCCCTCAATAAACATACAAAACTCTCTAAAAACCATCCTTCCACTACTTTCTCAAGGTGTATGGTTCACATCTGTTGACCTTAAAGATGCATATTTTCATATTGCAGTTGAGGAGTTTTACATGCATTTCCTCTGCTTTCAGGCACATGAACAACCCTTTCAATTTACCATTCTCCCTTTTGGCTTAGTAACAGCATCTCACATATTAACGAAATGCATGGCTGTCAGTTGTGCCTATCTTCGTCTAAATGGTATCCATGTATACCCTTACTTAGACTCCACAGTGGTGGTGGCCTGCAACAGCTGCATATTAGTAGCCCTGTTAGAAGAAAAAGTGAGAGCACTGGAGCAGCAAGTGTCAACCTTCCAGATAACTAAAGAAAATAAAGGGTTTTTAGACAGAGCAGAGGAGCTGCAATGGCAAAATGTAGTACAGAAGCAAGAAGAGCATCAGCAAACTGAGGCAGCATAGGAGAACCCTGAGGGAAGGGAAAAAATGAACAGGGTGACAGTTTAGATGCAGAAAACTTAGAAAACACTTTACACCCATGGAAGCATTGGAACTCTTGAACCACTTTAAGTTACATAAAGGAATGTGTGAAAAACCCACTGTGAAAGAACTACACTACACACTGCAACTCTGAAACTGTCATTCTTTGAGTGGTCATTTATGCAAGCACACAAACCTGCCTGCCATTCCATCTTGGTGTTGCCCTATGTGTACCAGCTGCTCTCTGAAATGGACAGAGGAGCACAATCTTGGTCTCATTGCTTCAGAACTGAGGACCAGGTATGAGCCCCTCCATCATGCCAGGGCATGCCCAGGGGAGGGGATCCAGCCAGATACTAATTAATCAGCTCTGGAATCTTCCCTAACTGGCTCCACACATGTCGCAGAGCCCATGTGTGTGAATGCAGAGTTGACTGTGCAGAAAATGACAGTTACAGGTAAGTAACCTGCCTTTCCTTAATGTCTTCTGTTAATGACTTCTGCAATACTCCCTTGCAGACCAGCCTAGCTAGCCTGCTTTAACACTATAAAGATTGTATCTATTAGCCTCTGGTCTTGATTTGCTTGTGGGAGGTGGGCAGGAATGGTCTCTAACAGATTGATTCCAAACGGAATCTTTCTTCTCCCTTGCCAAAAAAAAAGAAAACTCCACCTTCAGGGTGGCTTTCACTGCCTGTGGTCTAGACAGTGAAAATGCCACTGTCAATTGGTCTGATCTTTTGTTCTGAGGCTGGGCAATGTGACTGATTAAATTACACCCCTCTTCCTTGGCTTCTGATTGTTCAACGGTGTCTCTCCCCACTCTGCCCCCCCCCCATCCCGTGCCCCAAACTAAGGGTGGTTGAGTTCTCACCAGCTGCTTGGCCTTGGCATTCAGCTAAAAATTCTGGCCCTGCCTCTTCCAGTTCTAATTCAGATTCTGAGGTAACAAACATGGAATGCTGTACTTCAAGAGAAGCAGGCCCAGTCCTTACAGCTGTGTAGGTTTAACGTTTGGAATGCAGTGATTGATGGATTGGCAAGCTGCCTTAACAAACAGTGGACAGTGTAAGAAAACAGCATTATTCCATCTCTGTAATATATTAATATGCATTAGGACAAAAATATTACGGAGTTAAAATAATCTAGATTTATTGGGAATAAGTAAGATACAGTGTTGTTTAAGCTGTGTAATTCGTTCCAGAAATGTTCTGTGCCTATCCATGTATAAAAACATTATGAAGTGCTTGCTATAGATTAAGATATTTGTCCTTTCAAAAATGAAAGACTAACATGTTGTAAAAAGTGTTTGATTGTTTATATCTCCTCCCCTCTTCCCTTTTAACTTTTAGGATCTGCTCTTTGGCAGTTAATTGCATCATTCTTGAAGCTCCCCATATCTGGAACTCATTGCATTGTAGGTGCCACCATTGGATTCTCATTAGTTGCAATTGGTACAAAAGGAGTCCAGTGGATGGAACTTGTAAAGATTGGTAATTATCGTTTTCTTTTATATATAGAGAGATGTGCACAAATGCTCATTGATTGGAAAGAACATTCTAGAAACACAATCTTATAATGTAATTATGTTTATTCAATAACTGCTTTAGATAAACTTGGAAATCAGTGGTTTGCAATCCTAGTTTCAAGAGCTTCCTCAAATCATAGTTCTCCAATTCAGATATAACAGCATAGTATGGTTTGATTAGACACAAATGTGATGCATTAAGTTTTGCAGGAGGGTAAAATGTGAATTGAAAAGGAATGCTTGAGTCCATGGCAATCTGTGTTCCAAGCCTGTTTGATTATACACTTTCAGAACTAGGGTATACACATTATAACTAGAAGTAATAAACTATGGCTCAGTTCGGTTGTCATAGAATCTGATTTTTAAATTAGGTTTTGGAGATGTCCATACCTCTTCCCATAGATACACTTAATTCAAAGGATGATTTCTGAATTGCAACTTAACTTCAGGCTATGCTTTTCAGTAATGGTTTCTAAGCAAGCTTTTTTCTTTTAATTTATTATAACATTTCACCAAAACAAAATAATAAAAAGAGAAAAGAATTGTAATAGCACAGATTGACAATATCAGTTTCAGTATATGTATTTGAAGAGTGATTGGTGGTAGGGAGAAAAATACAGCTTTTTAAGAATTACTTATACATTTCAGCAAAAGCAAACCAAATATCCACATCTGTATGCATTTGCAAGTGGTCTCTGTATACTGTCCATTCAAACGTTGAAAGCATTTTTATATTCTCAATATGCTACATTATAGGAAGAAGCATTTATCCCTCAAATGGGTGTATTTGCACAGCATAGGAACTTGTTTACAAATTAGCTACCTGCTCTGGGTTGTTCTTGGACCAACCTATGATAAGCTGGACAGATGATTAGGTTTGCAGTGGGTTGTGCCCATCATTTCTCCATAGTCGTCTTCCATCTGAAACTGCTTTTCTCTTCTCGCTACTCTGTTTGTGCCCTATTTGCAGTTACTGCTGCAGCTTTCCCCAACTTTTGCAATATTTTCATACTCTCTGCAAGGTGACAGCCACTCTCTCCATCATGGGATGGAGCAAATGGGTGTTGGCACCAGCATGACTTAAATTAATCACCCTCAGTGATCTCTGTAAAAAATAAAGGCAGCAGCGTGGGGGCAGAACCTAAGACGAATATAAGAATAACCATGCTGAATCTGGCCAATGGCCCATCCAGTCCTGCACTGTATTCACATGAGCAGAAAAGTCCTTGTGATTGCAGTAGGGACAAAGGACAGGCCAGTTTCAGCTGCCAAGTCCCTTGGGATACCTTCTGGGGTTCCAAGGGGAAAGAAGGAAGAACAACCCATAGTGATTTTGATCATCTTTTGGGTACACTGTAGATTGTTTCATCTTATTTACTGTGCCATGCAAGTCAGCATCTCCACTCAAAATTAATTCATACTTTGACCATTTAATTGTATAACCACACAAATCATCAAAAGCAGCATTTTAAATGTTAATACTATGGAATTTTATTTGGCCAGGGCGGCTTATTTTATTCTAATGTATATATTTTAATTGTTATTGTCTTAATTTATTGTGTATTTTATTCTATGCTGTGAGCCGCCCTGAGGCTTCGGCAAGGGGCGGCATAGAAATGTTTTAATAAATAAATGAATGAATGAATGAATGTACTTAGTATTCCAGACCAAAACTGGAACAGATTATTGGTGTTTCAAGTTAAATATTAAAAGACCATCCACTCAATTTTAAACAATCGTGCATGAAGGCACAGATACTAATATTCTAATAGCACATACTAGGGGGTTCCAAACATAAATCAGATACCAGTGAACAAAGTGGATATCCCTGTCTGGTACTTCTCCCAAAGTTGAAAAAAAAGTCAAGAAGGTGCCATTGGTCATAATTCTGAACTCATAACTTGGTTCTTGGGATTGAATTTAAAATTCAGACCCACTTCTAAAATTCTGTGGGAAAGCTGAAATATTCAAAATAGCAAATATAAATTTCGTTTCAACATAGCAAATATAAATCCAGAACAGGATTAACAGCCTAGTCTGTTTTATCAGTATTGAAAACTATCAGTCAGGAGTGGTTTAAGATTATCAGCCACTTCTCTATGCTTAATAAATCACACCTGATCAGCTTAAACCAGTATTATAATATTAGTGCAAAATACTGGCCAGAATTGCAGTTAATATTTTAATATCAAGACTAATTAAAAGAATAGTGTTCCTTTTCATAAGTGTCATCCTTACCATAATTGGTAATCATTGTAATATAAGCATAATTCATTGATACAGCAAGGAAACCCAGTTCAAATAGCTTTGGAATTAACAGGTTGGAAGATACCCCATGATTGGAGACCTGGTCTGACCAGTTGACATCTCAGTATTCATATTCATAATTGCCTTAGTAGAAAAAGAAGCTGAGAAAAAGAGGCATCCATGTCCTGCTGTAATAGTTCACTACTTATACAATTGAGAATAGAATTTTAAATACTGTGAGAGGCATACATAATACTGTTCTCACTTTCATTACCTGAAATGACACGTAGATATTTTTGCTCTTTAAGATGGTGTGCCAGAGTCTTACCAGGATGTTCAGCATTTTCCTAATGTATTTATTCAGACAATTCTGATTAGCTGTCATCATTCATTGTTGTTTCATGCTATCAAGTTATCTCCAACTTATGGCAGCCCTATGTGTGAAGTCCCTCCAGAATGTCTTGTCTCAATAGCTCTGCTCAGAAAACTAACTGAAGTTAACTGCAATTTAGACATTATTGCAAATTATGAAAACAATCTAGAATAGTTTGGAAATTCATCAGTTTCCATGTCTGAATTAAGCCATTGTATGCCTGTAAATACTGACTTGGGGATATCATTCATAATTATGTTTGCCCTGCTTATGGAATAATAAGGCTTCAGAGAACCACCTTTGACCAGTGTCCCACTCTGGGCTCAAAGTTTATGGTGACTTCCCAAACTGAGAACCAGATCTTTTTCAAATACAGTGTATTTGTGCTGAAAAGATAAAGACAGAAATCTGATGTGATAGCTGAAGATCTGCACATTTTTCTTGGTGGATGTCCAGCAAAAGGTAGGTTAGGATCCATCCTTCAGAAGTACTGTGAATTGCTCTGTCTCTGAAACTAATAAAGCTTGTAGAGAATTAGATAGTGTTAGATGGGCATCGAGTGGGGGGGGGGGTCCCCACTGCATTCTATGGATTCTTTTAATAGTCATGCAGAACAGTATTGCCTTTAAAGACTTCATTGATTAGAGCTTGCATAATTTCCTAGTGTTGCTTAGAGGTTTCAGAAGAACTCTGCAGAGATTTAAACCTTGATACTTACTATGAGTATCAGTGTAACTATTTCCATGGACAGTATTATCTACACATGGTCCCAGCAATGGTCTGAATGTTTTTCCCATTCTGTTGAGCTTTTGCACAATTATTTCAAAGTAAAAATTTATGTGGAATAATCAAACTGAAATTAAGCACTTTGGATCCCCACTAATTTCTGCACAAGTGATACAGATGCATACTTAGTGCTCTCACTGATATCAATGGGACTTAAATATTCTTCAGCTGAATTGTGCCAAACTTAGGGGGGAAAAGCCTTAACCCACTTCCTGCAGTCTAGATTAAAACAACAGCAAAGTTCATTGTCAAAAGATGGGATTCCTTTATTGGGGTAGGATTTTGCCACTTACTGAACATTTTATCCATTTTTTTATTCAGTTGCTTCTTGGTTTATCTCCCCTCTGTTGTCTGGTATGATGTCTGGTGTGCTGTTTCTGCTGATTAGATTCTTCATCTTAAACAAGGTTAGTGGCTGAACTGGCAGTCCCTGTTCTTGCTGGTGGGATTGTAGCATGTGGGACAAATGTAACATTCTTCTCCCCTTAATCACCAGAGTTATCACCCACACAGTCATAATCCATTCCAAAAGTTGTCATATCTGTTTCCATTTATGCAAATATTATATTTATATCCCACCTCTTTCCATTCCAAGAACTCAATATGACTCACATAATACGCCTCTTAATCTTACCCTCACAACAACAAACCTGTGGGGAGGTCAGGCTGGGAGTCTGTGACTGGCCCAAAATCACCCAGTGAGCTCAATGGCTGAGTGGAAATTAGATTACCTGAGTCCCAGTTCTGCACTCTTAGCCACTATACCACACTGACTCTCATAATAGATTCATAATTTATATTTTTTAGCTTTAAAAATGTCACAAAACTCTTATTTTTACTGAACAAACAACAGAGTACTCCTTGGGAAATTGCTAGATAAACTATGGCTCATTATGACAGGAATGAACCACAACAAGACTCATGCTTGAATGCTCCCCCTTCACCCTATGGTTTTGGTGGTAGTACAAAAGTGCAGTTAATAAAAACAGAAGCTAAAAGTTTCTTCCTGATCTTGAGGTGCCTCTGGAAGATGAGAAGGGAGTTTATATCGGTTTTGAATACAACAAATACTGCTTTCAAAATGTGCTAGGCTCACAAAATGTATTTCCTGTTCTATAACAAGAATTTACAGTTTTTTCCATATAATTTTGCCATGAAAATTAATGGATTGCAATGTGAAATTTAAAAAAAGAACATTCTGTAATTGTTTGTAAGATATTGGAATGAGGTGATATCCTGGCAGCCCATGTTAGCCTGAGGGGAAACAAAAAAAGGGGGGGGGGAATAAGAATAGAGGTGGTCCATGTAGGAATACCAGAAGTTTCCAAAGACAAAGCATTTGAAAAAGCATCATTTCTTTGATCTTCTACTTCTTTCTGCAGTTACAAGTTAAGGAATAACAAGCATAGACTTGTATTTTGCTCTGAAGTAGGTGCTTTTGTATTTGTCATTACTGTCTCTCTTATCATGAAGAATCAGCTGAAGCTGTCTTTTGTAGTTCATGAAGAATCAAATGAAGCTGCCTTTTGTGGTTCTTAAAATTAACTCATCCAGCTGTTCATTGTGTTGTCATTCTGTTCGAATTTGTGACTACAAAGGTTCATTACAAAATTAAGAAGCCAACATTTTCCTTTCATTTAGTGTGACCTTTGTGTGTGACCAGGCTGAAGTAACTTCCTCACTGAAGTGTGAGCAACATTTTTTGATGTTGACTATATATGTTGCAATACCCCCAGAGTTCTAATATTCATCCTATGTCTTCATTATGCAGGAAGACCCTGTACCTAATGGTCTCCGTGCTCTTCCAGTATTCTATGCTGCTACAATAACAATTAATATGTTTTCCATAATGTACACTGGTGCCCCAGGTGAGTAGTACCTGACATAACAAGTTTATTATGGAAGCACTATATTGGCCTACTGACACATACCAAATACTTTCCATTCTGTATACTTGGGAATAGATGAAGCACAGTAAAGAGGATGTAAATGCTGCAATAGACACCTTGCTTAGGAATATTGTAAAAGTGGGAACTCACACAGAGTAGTTCATGGAAAAGCAAGAGAAGTTCTTCATAGTCTCTGTGCATCATACTTATGGGATCTCCATCTGCATGGAGCCTGTTACCAGAGACTATATGTGTGAATGCACAGATGACAACTCAAAGAACAACATTTACAGGTAAGCAACCTGACTTTGTTGTGTGTTCTAGCTATCCTAGGCCTCTTAGGACAATGTATGGGCCACTTTACTATGGCTTGCTTATTCCCTGGTGCATTATGGTGCATTCCAGCAGCCATTTTAAATATTCAAGCCATGGTGTGCAATTCTGTGGTTGTCCGAATAGTACAAATTGGAGCTGAACAACTCTCATATAATCTATGGATTGTTTTAGGGTTGTGCAAGCCACCATTGCTCGATTTAACACATCATAAACCACAGTGACTGCCTACTGCAGCTTGAATATTCACAGTGGTGGCTGGTATATGTTGCAGCTCCATGGTGCATATGGTACAAATCAAGTCACTATGTAGAGGTAAACCCAGGTTTACTATCAACATGGAATTGTAACAGTTCGCAACTCTTTGATAAGTGTTCTAGTATAGTGTAAACATGTTTGTCACATTTTTATCTGAAGCACTCATTTAAAACAAAAAATTAAAACATTTAAAACAATCATAGTTGTCTCTGTCCTGTTTCTAAAAGAGAAATATTTTAAAATATAGTTCAAAATATACATGTTCACTGGCAGAAGTCAACCTTCCCTCCTCCCTTTTTTCCCCAGCCTGGTACCTGGTAATCATTCTATATTGTGATATAAGGTTGCAAACCAATGTGAAATAATGAAATTTAATTCTTTCCCCCTTTCAGTTCTAGGAATCAGTCTTCCTATATGGGCAATAGCACTGATATCAATTGGTATATCACTAGTATTTGCTGCCTTAGTCTGGATATTTGTGTGTCCATGGATGAGAAGAAAAATAGCAAGTATGTCTTTTGTGGGGAATGAAATGCATCTGGCTTAAAATCTTATAACTCTGGATATGCTGTTATATTTTCTTACTATTACAAAATATAGTTTGATTAACTTTTTTTTTTAATTGTGATTGAGTCACTGGAACCCAAATGACCAAACAAAAGACTATGATCCAAAGTGCTTATTTATACCCAATCTTTTCTCATAATAACTTTCATTCAAATGATAAGAGTTAATGAGTGGCAGGATTCATAGTCTTTACTTGCACCCAATGTGACCTCTGATTTGTTTTTAATTCTTCAAACAGATTGTTATGTTGCATCCTAAACTGACAGTAGAACTGATTTTATTTTCAAAAATCACTTGCCTGTGGCAGGTAGAAGAAATGGTGCTTGAGGAATACAAGTCCCATCAACCCAAATTAGCTTCAAACTAGTTACATAACATTTTGGGTGCTGCTCAAAATATTTTACTTATTCATAGCATCTAAACTGCCTTGAGTTTGAGGAAGAGTGGGAGAAAGATTTAAGTTTTTGTGTTCCAACCTAGACACATGTGTTAATGGAAGCAAGTATTCTGTTTGTTAGAGGTAGATTCATTGCATGTATAAAAATTATTTATTTTTATGTGGCTTTACAACAGAGCAGAGTGCTATAGCACTGCAGTCATTTTATTGAAATGACATTGGGTACTTCTGATGTAGAATGGCTATTACATAGATAAAGAACAATCTTTAATAAAAGTTCTGTATTTAGGTCAGTTAAAGAAAGAAGGTGCATTATCAAAGATCTCTGATGAAAGCCTTGACAAAATTCAAGATGAGGATATGCCTGTCTTTAAAGAACTTCCTGGTGCCAGAGCAACTGATGAAAGTATTATTCCTCTTACTGGTTCTGTAACAGAAGAGGCTGGTGCATCAGATAATATAGCAAATGGCAGTCATCCACGTGTGCCATATGGTGAGATACCAAAAGCACAAAATGCTTTCCTTTATTTTCATGTATTTATTGTGAGCTGTTCTCTGGTACCTTGGTTATATCCATGGGTTGTATCCAGGGAAAGACTTCTGCTTGTGGAAACTCAGTTTTGGATTTAGCTTGCATAAACCATTGTATAACACATTATGATATCATTGAAACAGAGCAACTCAGAAAGGGTCTCCTGGACCATCTAGTCTGGCCCCCGGCTCCAACCGGCTCTGCTCATGACACGCCTACCATGTGCATGCCCAGCCTATCCATGAAACACCCTCACTGATGGGCTTCAACGACTTCCCATGGAAGCCCATTCCATACCCATAGGATCCATACCCTTGGGATCCTAACTGTCAGGAATTACTTCCTGGCATCCATCCCTGACTTTACTCACCTAGTTCCCCCAGACAGAGTAACTATTACAAGCAATTATTAAAACAAAACTATGACCTAGTGAAGAGAGTCCTTGGCCAGTCCAGGCCACAGCCCAGCAGACAAGTGACGATGTCAACTGCTGAGCATGGCTTTATAAGGATGCTGGCCCCACCTGTCTGCTTCCTCCTGGGCCTCTCTGGCCCTTCCTTTCCACTGCTCCGCCCCCCCCCCCCCCCCGCAAACCTTTGCCCAGCTCCTACATGGCCTTCACCAGTTCCCTGGTCCCAGTTTCTGCTGCTCCACTATTCTGCCAAGAGCCAAAAGAGCCAAATATCAATCATGGTTTCATAATTACAGGTGTTGCCCATGTTAGTCATTTTACGTGTTCTGATAGTGATTGTACATCTACCAGGTCAGGTGTGCCCAACTTTTTGGGTCATTTGGCACATTTGGAATTCTGGAAGTGCTGTGACAAAAAAGTTGTTATGGGTTGGGCTTGTCCATGTTTGCCAGGGCTGTATGGCACCAGCCTTCCTCCAAAAAATAAACTGGTGAGGCTAACAGAAAATAACTTTGCTAAGAACCCATATACTCATACAAGGCAGAGGCAGGCCCTGAGCTCCAAAGTACAAAGCCACTGTTTTGAATCCACAGTTTTCTGCTCTCTACACAAAACTAATGAGGCTCAGAGACAAATAACCTCATCAAGAAATGGCAGATCACATCTGAGTCCCCACAAAGCACAACAAAATACCCACACATAAACAAAAAATAGGGTCATACACATATGCATGCCCTAGAAAGGATCCCTCTAGAACCCTTAGGGTGTTTCTTGCTAATATCAGTTCACGTTTTACTTAGTCTTCTGGACTGCAGCCACCCACCAATTTTACTTTCTAAGAATACCTCTGGTGATTGTATGGGGCCCACAAGTATTCTTGAGAATGCAGACACACTGGAGGACAACGGGTTATTTTGTAACATGCCAGCCTCCTACTTAAAACTTTCTAAATTAAAATCCTTTAAAAATCCAGAAAGACAGGGAACCTGATGGGGGTGAAGAGAATGTCTATGGCACTAAATTTGAGACCCTAGTGCTAGTAAAAAAAACAGTTTTTCTCATACTTCTGCTTGTTTAACATTTGAAATAACCCTGTTGGTGTAAATGTAGCTGCCCAGAACACCTGCATCAGTACTTTGTTCCAATCTTTCTGATGTTAGAAATAAACCCAAAGTGAAAGAGTATGTAGTTCTGTCATGCTCTCCTCATGAATGCTCAGAGATTGCTTTGGCTTGTAACAGAGTTTTGAAAAGAACATACTTATACATTTATGTTATCCAAGTTATCTTACCAGCTACTTATGTAGTTTACTGTGGTTTCTGTTAATGATGATCCAGTTACCATCAAATTGATTTGTGATATACTAGAAACCTATAATAGTATAATCTTTTTTGGTAAAAAATTTAATGGCATCTTAAACTTAGATGTTGAATGATGTTTCATTAATATTTGAGCCTCTATATCTAACTGAAAGTGTTTTTGTATACACTAGCTTTCTTTCCTTCACTTAGGAATAATATTGGAGTAAAGCTTTAGTTTTTTTCATGCTCAACCCCAGTGACCTAATGGTTGAGTGGGGACTGAAGTCCAGCATTCTAACCAGTGAACAACGCTACTGTTGCTTATATTTTGTTACATATTAAGTTAAAATTGCTAACTTGAAATATTACAGACCCTGTGCCTCAAACTAAGAAATCTAAGTTTAAAGACAAAGCACATTGAGGAGGAAGGAAGAAAGAAAATCAGTCAAGGGAAGCGAGGGTGAATAGCTGTTAGAACAGATCAATAGGAAGGTTTCTCTTTTCCCCTGCCATGCAGATTGACTGGCTATGGCTACAGTCCAAGGAGGAGTGTTTTGACCAGGCAAGCTGTGGAAAGGTCCTTTCCATCTTCTATAAGCCACAGAATGACTGGTTGCTGCAAAATGTATGCTAGCAAATACAGATAATTGAAAAGTAATATTGCTTCAGCATTTTTGCTACCTGTCTGTCTTTGGTTACCTCTGAAAAGTAAGACTTTTCTTTGCTGTTTCAGGAAGGGCATTTTCAATGACACACAGTATGGTGAAATCACCTGTTTCCAATGGCACCTTTAATTTTGATGGTCACATGAAGAGTGATATACATGTATATCACACTGTGCACAAAGACTCAGGGTTGTACAAAGACTTACTGCACAAAATACATCTAGACCGAGGTAATGATGACAAGCCTGCACAAGAAAATAACTACAAGTTGCTACGACGCAATAACAGTTACACTTGCTACACAGCTGCCATATGTGGGATGCCAGTGCATTCTTCCTTCAAGGCTACTGACATGTCAACTCCAGAAGATAGTGAAAAGCTAGTTACAGACACAGTATCTTACTCAAAAAAAAGAGTTCGCTATGACAGCTACTCCAGCTACTGCAATGCTGTGGCAGAAGCAGAAATTGAAGCAGAAGAAGGTGGTGTGGAGATGAAATTGGCATCTGAGTTAGTTGATCCTAACCATCCCTCGGAGGATCCTGCAGAAGAAGAGAGAGATGAGAGAGACTCCTCAGAGGTCCACCTTCTTTTCCACTTTCTCCAAATTCTTACAGCTTGTTTTGGATCTTTTGCTCATGGAGGTAATGATGTTAGGTAGGTAATGAGAGCTTGCCTATGTTAATACTATAATTCAGTTTGTGAGTACTGTAATTTCTAGTAGTTGGGGATATATACAAGAAGCATTGTGGTTCATTGCAAATTCTCACTAATCCTAATATGTTTTTTAAAAAGCAATCTGCTCAAACATTTCCTTCATCTATAATTATGTACTCTTGCTACCCATTTGTGTGGGAAAAGAATATACAAATATAATCAGGTCTGAACTGTGGGTTCTGAGTTGGTTTTAGCCAGAGAACTGAAGTCTGAGCTAATTTTATTGGTATTTAGTGCTGAATTTCCTCTTTTCTCCTGCTGCGCCATTGTTTATCCATAGGAAAAGGTCACCTATAATTGCTCAGTTGTCTTCAGTGACCAAATGATTACTATTTTGCAAGCTTACCAATTTGCTATTTTTTTGTTTGTTTATAAAGAATGTTTTGAAGGACATGTTTTTGACACATAATGTCTTCCCATGTAAATTGGAAATCTGTTTTCCTTTCAAAATAACTTTCTAGGCTGGCTCCATTTTAATAGATTAAGAGCAGCTGTTGTGTTCCCCACTACTCAATTTATTTTTAGACTGAAGATTCATAAAGCTGAGTTCTTATGATAGGCTGATTTTACCTAAGTTCTTTTGCCTGCCACTAGGGCCAGTATGTGTTAGAAATCACAGACTGCATTCAGACTATTATAACTCTGCTTAATAACTCAAAATATTAATGAGACTTGGGGCTCTGCATGTAACCTTTTAATTCTCCTTTTACCTAGATGAGCAAACCACATTTTGCATATTCTAACTAGGAAATAATAGATAACAACTTCAAAACAAGACAAGATGCTAAACCATGGTTTGAAGTTGGTTTAATATGTTGGCTTGTTCTGAAGCTTTTAGTAGTTTCCTAGCTCAGATGAAACATGAAATTATAATTAATTGAAATGGTCCTTCTTTCTTTATTCCCTCTGGAAGGAGAAGAACCAAGAGGTTTTCCTGGCCAAAAGTCTTGTTCATATCCAAATTCTGAACGTATATATTGACACAAGTTACCACTAAGAGAATGCCTCAATCCTCACTTTCCCAATCCAAGTCAATAGTATGCACACTGGGTTGTGGCCCTGACTCACAGAGTGAGTTCTAATAAGCTATTGGACCTTGCAACAGAAATTGACTGTGGAATTCCAAAGTTCTATGGGAATTATATACAACTTAATACTTTCTACTTTAGGATAAATATTGATTTCTACCAATTTACAAATGTTAGACTATGGCCTGCAATTTTATGGCTCCACCCACCCAGTTCCCATTTTTAGAATTAACAGCCACATTGCCATTTCATGGGAAGGTAAATATTTTGCTAGAATATCAAGAATTTTATATATGAGTGTTTTAAGAACTCTCAAGTTTATTCCAAACTGGATGATATTAATTTGTCACAGAATTTGATTTATTGTCACAGCTAGTTTTTTTCAAATTCCTTGCCCTCAAAAAAGTGTTTCAGGTATGTATTTCTACCCAGCATCTTCTGTAATGAGAATTCATTCTACTTTTTTGTGGTTTCACTGTCCTCCCTTATCTGTAGGGGAGGAAAACACCTTTAGTAGCACAGGACAAAAGTTTTGTTGGGGGTTGAGAGATGTTTATGTTTCTGCCCACTCCAAATTCAAGATTGCGGTTTCCCTTGTTGTTTGGGCAGCATCTGTGCCAGCATGTGTTAGATGACTGGATGAAAACATGTTCAGGCTTGAAAGGATGGTTTGTGCTGGCTGTTTCTGTCTGCTTGGTTGGTTAGGGTCCTTTCCCAGCAGCCATGCCCAACCCATTGGGGATAAGGAGACTATGCAACAGGCCAGGGAACCAATGAGTACAAAACATTATTAGAGCTGGGGCATCAGGAGGATAGGAATGACTGCAGAGAGCTGCTGCTGATGATGATGATTTTTATCATTTGAAGCAGGGACTCTGGTTTTCAAAAGGTAGTGTTTTTTCAGCATTATATGTTTGTTTTACACATTGTCAGGCAGCACCATTGCCTTTTGCTCTAGTTGTGTATGTTGGCAAGGCACTTGCACTAAATATAGTCAATGCTAGTCTTTGGATCTAGGTGCCAATTTCTGGGTTCTGCGTTCTCTAGATTCCATTCTCCATTGCCAGTGTCCTGAGAAAGGTTTGGTTTGTTGACTCATTAAACTTGAACAATTGTGTTAGGCCATTTATGTTCTAGTAATCAACCAATTCTTGTTTTTTAGCTTTAAGTAGCAGATAGCATAGACATTGCAACAGCATATAATGGCCACGTAATATTCTTTCTATCTTTGGTTAGCAATGTTAGTGTTCTTGCTGTGATCCTGTGCTTTGGAAGTCAGTGTGTTAAAGGGTTGTTTTCTTACAGCGTATGCCAGTGGTGTCCAACCATTGGTCCATGGACCAGCACCAGTCCATAGGAGATTTCTTGGTGGTCCATTGTGGGGGGGGGGGGCACATCCCACTTGCCACAGACCAGTGTGGGGACTGGCTGTGCCCCACCACTTCTTCCTCAGTTGGCATTGCATTAGTGGGGGTGTGCCAGTGCTGGTGGTAGGGCCAGGGAGGGAAGAGACAGCTGGCTGGGAGCCATGCTATGCCGGTTTCAGTATTTTGTTCTTTTGTTGGCATTTTTTGTTGCTCCTTTTCTGGTTGTTTTGGAGAATTTTCTTTTTTTGATATTGTGTTTGGAAGCTACTACATGAATACTGTATTATGTGTATGGTGCTTTTTTGTTTCTGCTTCATTGGTTCCCAAGGTGGTTTTCCTATTTTCATGGGTTCTCAGCTGAGGAAAGGTTGAAAACCACTGTTGTTATACCATGTACCACTTTTAGAAGAAGTTAAAAGATAAAATGTGCTCAGCTCTGGCTTTATGTAAGGCAGTCCAGACCAAAACAAAATGCTTCTGAAACATTACTTTTTGGGCTGCAGACCCACAGATAATTAGGCAAGTCACTAAGAAGCAAATGCACACCTTTTGTATTAGGATGTTAAGAATTAAGCTAGCAGGTTAATTAAAATAGTGATTCTAAGGATGATCTCATGCATTTATTGAGGCATACCGTGTCTGTGGCAGAGGGTACATTTAGACTTATAGAAGAGTAGAATTGGAAGAGGCTGATAAGGCCATCAGGTCCAACCCCTGCTGAGCATAGAACTCTAAATTAAAGCATTCCTAACAGATGGCTGTTCTCTTACATGTTGAATGTGTCCAGTGGGGGAAAGCCCATTTCCTAATTGGTTCCATTGTCATATTGCTCTGACAGTCAAGACATGTTTCCTGATGTTGAGCTGGAATTTGGCTTCCTAGAACTTGAGTCCATTATCCTGTGTCCTACAGTCTGGGATGATCAAGAGGAGATCCTTGCCCTCCTCTGTGTGACCACCTTCCAATTATTTGAAGAGTTCTATCATATCTCACCTCAGCCTTCTTTTTTCAAGGGATAACATGAACAGTTCTTTCAGTGTCTCCTTATAGGACTTTGTTTCTAATCCCTGGATCATCCTTCTTTCCCTCTTCTGAACCTGTTCCATTTTGTCTACATCTTTCTTAAATTGTAGTACTCAGAACTGGACACAGGATTCAAGATGAGGCTTAACTAGTGCTGTGCAGAAGGCAACTAGTACTTCATTTAGGACACCCAAAATACCCCTTGCCATTTTGCAGCCACATCTAGGAAGTTACAGCCCATCTTGGCTTTCTGAATGTTTGTATAGCATACATTTATTTCAAAATATGTCAGGCATTACACATTATATTTTTAGGTGTATTTCTAAGCACGTAATCTGCGAGAGTGTCTGAGAAAAATGATAACGGAAAATATGTAAGCAAGGTATGAACAAATAACCAGCCTTTGTTATACTCTAATGCCTCCCCTCACCTTAAAGCAGAACTTTAAAAAACAGCTTCACATACTGTAGCCAGAAAAATCCATTTTACATAAAGCACAGCTTTGGGACAAAATGCATAGATGTTCTGCAGACATCTCCTGGGTATTATATTGACAATATGTAAGGAAGAGGGCTGTGTTGAATGTTCTGAATTGTTTGAATGCAGTGTTCCTTATCTTAACCATGGTTCACAAATCCAATGGAGATAGATTAATCTAAACAGGCACGCTTTTGGGCACACTGGTCAAATGGAAAAACCTGGGCATAGCCACAGAATGGCTGCCATGGGAGAGACTGGCTAATAAGGAAAAATAATCTGTCTAAAGTAGTGATGGAATAGGTGCTCCAACACATTTTTTAAAAAATCTCCTTAGCCCACAGTTTTTCAATAGAAACATATTTCAAACAAGGTACTTTTTTTCTTTCTCACCTTCTCTGCCATCAAACATATTCTCTATGGTGAAGCCATGGTGTGCAATTCTATAAATGGAGTAGACCCACATATATCCAAATAATATCCCATGACCTTACAGATGCATGTCTTGCAATATAGGAATGACATATGGAAGTCACTTGTAAGCCAGCATTCATTCATTCAAAACATATGCTGCCCAATTGTGCCACAGCACCTCTGGGTGGTTCACAACCACAAGATAAAAACACAATAAAACATAATAAAACCAATAACGCATTAAAAACAACAATAAAACACAGCAGAACATACAAAATAGCGGTCTATGGCAATTAGTTATTGAAATATTTTTTTAAAAAAAGGAAGGTTTTTGCCTGGTGCCGAAAAGAAAGTAAGGAAGGCACCAAGCGAATCTCCTTGGGGGAGAGCATTCCAAATATGGGGAGCAGCTGTGGAAAAGGCCCTCCTAGTGGCCATCCCTCTCGCCTCCTCAAGGGATGCCTCATACAGAAGGGCCCCCTGCGTAGATGTCAAAGGCCAGGTGGGCACGTATGGATGCAGGCACTCCCTAAGATAACTGGGGCCTAAGCCATTTAGGGCTTTATACATCAACACAAGCACCTTGAATTGGGCCAAGGCCACAATTAGTAACCAATGAAGATCTTTCAGT